AGGCAGTTGAGTTTACAGTCTTTTTTTTGAACGCACCAAACTTGTGTTGAGGAGTAGATTTTATCAGTGTTTCAGTGTTTCAAACGCCAAATGCTTGTAAACGTGGCTAACCGCGTTTATAAGTGTTTGCATTTATAAGCGTTTTTGAACTGTTCCATATCCAAATGCTGTCCCAAGCCTTCTTTCATCATCAGAAATGCATGCAAAGCATTTTCCATGTATTCAAATGGACCTAGTACACCAGCGCAGTCAGTTCCAGATTTTGCATGAAGGTAAAAATGGTAGAACATGCCGCATTATGCTCATGATGGGATCCATAGTGAATACAACCAGAAAAGATAGGAAATCTCAGCACATACTGCTGTCTCTGCTTCTGCTCTCTCTATTTATCTTAAAATGTCTGAAATAGTTCATTTTTTACTGTTTTTCAGTGCATTCTGGGCATTTTGGAAGGTCTCCTGATGCTATCTTTAAAAAACGCTTTCCAAACGCAAACACGCATTAATGCGGTACGCTAAACAGATGTATTTTAACCTATGTTTTCCAGCAGTCAGTCTCCATCATTCAGGAGTGTTTTCCAAACGTCCCGTGTACATGGAGCCTAAGAAGGTCCATATGTGCTTTGCTGTATATCCTCCATTGGCTCTCTTCTCCTTCACTGATCTTCCTCTCAGGCAGCTGTTGATGCTACCAGAAATCCAGTGTCTTTGTGACTTGCTTTGGGCTGAATTCTTCTGTGACCAGAACTAAAGATAACTGAGCTAAAAGTCTTTTCTTGGGCTGCTGAAGATCTTTGGTTAGCCTTTTAGAACCTGTCTAGAAATATGTCCAATATAACATTGTCTCCTTACCTGCCATTAATTTTCTGTACAGGAAAGGAGACAACAATGTTGATGTAACACAGAATTCTCAACTGTAGCCCATATTGAATGATATGAATGAGAAGGATACAGAATTTTTTTGGTTTTAACCACTTCCAGTCCGGACACTTTTACCCCCTTCCTGACCAGGGCAATTTTCAGCTTTCAGCGCTATCACACTTTGAATGACAATTGCTCGGTCATGCAACACTGTACCCATATAAATTTTTTACCATTTTTTTGAGACAGATAAAACTTTATTTTGGTGGTATTTATTCACCGCTGGGATTTTTATTTTTTTTGCTATGTAAATGAAAATGTCCAAAAATTTTGAAAAAAATTTTGCAAATAAATAATATTTCATCATAAATCTTGGCCAAAATGTATTCTGTTATCTTTTTAGTAAAAAAAAAATATATATATATATAAACCAAATTAGTTTATAACCAAAAATTATAATTTTTAAACATTTTGTTTTACATTTTTTATATTTTTGTAATATTATTTATTTACATACGGTCACCCTAGCAGTACAGTGTCACCATGGTGACACTGTACTACTTTTGGGGGGTGATGAAGATTTTTTACACTGATTGCTTTTACACTCATATAGAATGTAAAAGCAATCATTTCTCTTTCTCTCTGTCTGCATAATTGCAGCCATTGAGAACTACTGAGTGAGCTGTGATTGGTCACAGCTTGTCCCATGGTACAAGGCTGTTGTGAATAGCCTTGTACCATGTGACCTCTGTGATCATTCACAGATTTCACACGTAGTAAGCAATGATGTCAGAAGTTACATCTTGCTTACTACTTTGCATGTGATCACTGATTGGCCAATCAGTGATCACATGATCGGGACCTCGTACAGAGGTCCCGTTCAACGATCGGTGTTTCACTGTGTCCGGAGGAAACAGCGGGCACCGGATCACGGTGCTGTGCGCTCCCGGGGAGCATGCACAAACAGGGTGCAGGAGGCCGTTTATAAATGGCCACCTGACCCTGCAGTGCCACCGTCCGGCCGTTTATATACAACGGCCGGTCGGGAAGTGGTTAAACAATGTGAACAGGGCATGGAGTGGGAAGGGACAGGGTAGGGGAAATGGAAGAAGGACGAGGAAGGTTCATTCCTCACTGTGTGCAGGATCCAAAGAGAGCTTTACCCTTATCTGAGTATACAAACATATTCCAGGCATCCATACTGGAAAGACTTCATGTTTGTTTTGAGCAGACAGCACCAGGTCTTCCATCTTACTTAACTCTTCAACTTTTGTTTTGATTACAGTGCCTCTTTACATTCCAGTCCCCTTTATATCACAATGTCCCTTTACATTACAGTACCCCTAGATATTCACAGCCCCCCATCACAGTGCCCCTTGCAGTCATGCTCCCCTTTTTCTCTAATCACAACGCCCCCTATATATTCAGCAAATAGATGGCCCAAGACAGCCCAATCCAACAAAGAAACATCCCAATCCAGCAAAGAGACATCCCTATATAGCAAAGCAACATCCGAATCCAGCAAAGAGACATCCCTATATAGTACAAGGCCAGCCCAATCTAGCAAAGAGACATCCCCATCCAGCAAAGAGACAGCCCAATCCAGCAAAGAGACATCCCTGTATAGCAAAGAGACAGCCCAATCCAGCAAATAGACATCCCCATCCAGCAAAGAAACATCCCCATATAGCAAAAAGACTGCCCAATCCAGCAAAGAGACAGACCAATTCAACAAAGAGACATCTCCATCCAGCAAAGAGACAGCCCAATCCAGCAAAGATGCATCCCTGTATAGCAAAGAGACAGCCCAATCCAGCAAAGAAACATCCCCATATAACAAAAAAGACTGCCCAATCCAACAAAGAGACATCCCCATCCAGCAAAGAGACAGCCCAATCCAGCAAAGAGACAGCCCTATATAGCAAATAGACATCCCCATCCAGCAAAGAAACATCCCCATATAGCAAAAAGACTGCCCAATCCAGCAAAGAGACAGACCAATTCAACAAAGAGACATCTCCATCCAGCAAAGAGACAGCCCAATCCAGCAAAGAGACATTCCCATCCAGCAAAGAGACATCCCAATTCAGCAAAGATACATCCCTGTATAGCAAAGAGACAGCCCAATCCAGCAAAGAAACATCCCCATATAACAAAAAAGACTGCCCAATCCAACAAAGAGACATCCCCATCCAGCAAAGAGACAGCCCAATCCAACAAAGAGACAGCCCTATATAGCAAAGAGACAGCCCTATATAGCAAAGAGACAGCCCAATCCAGCAAAGAGACAGACCAATCCAACAAAGAGACATCTCCATCGAGCAAACAGACAGCCCAATCCAGCAAAGAGACATTCCCATCCAGCAAAGAGACATCCCAATCTAGCAAAGAGACATCCCAATCTAGCAAAGAGACATCCCTGTCCAGCAAAGAGACATCCCTATCCAGCAAAGAGACATCCCCATCCAGCAAAGAAACATCCCCATCCAGCAAAGAAACATCCCCATATAGCAAAAAGACAGCCCAATCCAACAAAGAGACATCCCCATCCAGCAAAGAGACAGCCCAATCCAGCAAAAAGACATCCCCATATAGCAAAGAGACAGCCCAATCCAGCAAAGAGACAGACCAATCCAACAAAGAGACATCTCCATCCACCAAAGAGACAGCTCAATCCAGCAAAGAGACATTCCCATTCAGCAAAGAGACATCCCAATTCAGCAAAGATACATCCCTGTATAAAAAAGAGAAATACCAATCCAGCAAAGAGACATCTCATCCAGGAAAGAGGCATCCCATACAGCAAAGAGACATCCCAATCCAGCAGAGAGATATCCCATCCAGCAACAAGACATTACAATCCAGCAAAGAAACATCCCATCCAGCGAAAGAGACATTCGCAATCCAGCAAAGAGACATCCCATCTATCAAAGAGATATCCCGTCCAGCAAAGACACATCCCAATCCAGCAAAGAGACATTCCATCTGTCAAAGAGACATTGCATCCAGTAAAGAGACAGCCCAATCTACCCTTGCTACAGAGCGGGACTGTTTGGCTCTCACAGTGTGCCAGCCGACAAAGGAGAGAGGCTACCGTTGTCCCTTCAGTGCCGTTGTATCTGCAGCGACTGGCCCGGGAGGTGTGTATCCCCTGCAGGCACTTCCTGCTTGTGTCTCTGCCACTCCTCCTGTCAGCCCTGCTTTAGACATAGCAAGATAGCAGGAGGTAAGTGGCGGCCGTGGTCTGTGTTAGCCCTGTCCAGACTGCCGTCGATACTTACCTCTCACTGCGTGGCCCGGTCATCAACAAGCTACTCTTCTTAGGCCATGAGGCTCAGCGGCATCGGCCCACTGGCCAAATGCCCGGAGTGCCCTATGGCCAGTCCAGGCCTGTTCATCCATAAAAAATCGAGAGACCAAGACCGCGCATGCTCAGAAATGGAAGAATACATTACAATATAATACATTACATCACTTATCAGTGCCCATCAGTGCTGCCTCATCAACGCACATCGGTGAAGGAGAAAAATTACCTGTTTGCAAAATTTTATAATAGAAACAAAGAAACTTTTTTTTTTCAATTTTTTGCACTTTTTTTGTTTATAGCGCAAAAAGTAAAACACCCAGCGACGAGTAAATACCACCAAAAGAAAGCTCTATTTGTGAGAAAAAAATGATACAAAATTTCATATGGATATAATCTTGCATAACCGCGCAATTGTCAATCAAAGTGCGAAAGCACTGAAAGCTGAAAATTGGCCTGGTAAAGAAGGGGGTATAAGTGCCCGGTAGGCAAGTGGTTAATGATGCCCCAACAAGGGTTGTCAGTTAGGGACTGTAAGCTCCTTGAAGACAGGGAATAATGCGAATGTACAATACATATGTAAAAGTGTTGTGAAATTGTCGTAGCTATGTAAGTACTTGTAATTAGAGATGAGCGAATTATTCAAAAATTCGGATCGGCTGATTTCGCCGAATTCGCCGAATAAATTCGCTTCGAGCTGAATATATTCGCTGCGAATTTAACTTATAAAAAGGGTGTTTCTAGGCTTCAGAGAGCCTTTATATTAGTGCAGAACACTGTACCTTTAATTTAAATGCCCTTGGAGTCTGCTGGGGAAGAGAAATAATACTGTCAGTCAGTATGACATGCAGATGAGTGCCGTCGATCTTAGAATCACCGCACACTTCACTCATTTGGGCAGTCACGGGGCCAAAACCAGAGTGTGGAGCCACAGTGTGGCGGTGGAGGCAGCAGCAATGGGAGGCCATACAGCACCCTATGACAAAATGGAACCCACCAGCAGTGTGAGGAGACCTGAAAGTGGCACATGGCAGAGTGTGGCGATGGAGACAGCAGCAATGGGAGGCCGTACAGGGACCCATGAGACACTCTGGACCTGGCAGCAGCATGAGGAGGCGGTACAGGGGCCCATGACAGATTACGGGCCTGGCAGCAGCATGAGGAGTCGGTACAGGGGCCTATGGCAGAGTGGCGGAGCGTAAGCAGCTAAAATTGAAGGCCATACAGAGGCCTATGTTAAAAAGTCCCCCCAGCAGCAGCGTGGGGAGACGACTATCAAGAGTCCAATGGCAGAGTGGCGGAGCAGAAGCAGCTTCAATTGAAGGCCATACACAGGCCTAGTTTTAAAAGTCCCTCACAGTTAATTCCAATAACGAACTCTACTCCTCCGTGCAATCTACTTACGAGACCCTGGGCAGGTCTGGGTCCAATTTGTGGTAGAGACTGGTTTTGTTCAGCCATGCTTGAGTGAGTAATAACAGGTCTGTGCTGCCCTTTGGTGTCTGGCTTAATGCGCACAACACTGAACGCCCCAGCGTTTGTCAACGATTTGCCGTTAAGTGATGCAAACCCGCTGAACCACGTTCATGAGGAGCCGGTACAGGGGGCCATGAATCAGTATGGACCTGGCAGCAGCGTGAGCAGACGACAGAGGCACATGGCGCAGGGTGGCGGCGATTTATAGCTCCACCATTACACAGTGCTGGCTGGCTGCTGATTGGCTAATGCGATCACATGTCATGAATGCATTATGGGTCAGCGCGCCTTGTCTGCGCGCCTTCCCAGAGATCCCCACCCCATCTTCTCTGTCCATTTTCTCCGTCGCCACACATGTCGCCGCCATTTTTGGAAAAATTCGATTCGTGCATCCGAAGTTTGCTAATCTTCGGATTCGTCGCGAATAGAATTTTTCCAAATCTTCGGAACGAATTCCACTTCGTCATGTTCGATTCGCTCATCTCTAATTGTAATAAATGAATAAAAAAAAATAAATAGTTTCATCATTATGGAGAGAAAAGCAAATAAAGGCATTGTTAGAGGGAGTACTGTGATCTCTGTGAGAGATGATCAATACCTAGAAGTGTTATACAGACACATTATTTGGTTTGTGTGTACTTGACATGAAAACATAAAGCAGGTACTGTATGTTATATACAGCATTAAAGCCTATAAATGGTTAATGCTAGAAAATATATTTAAGTAGCAAAATGGATTTCTTGAAATGCATCCGCTCTGTAAGAACAAGGATTGACAAAGGCTGGGAATGAAAAACAGATTTTAGAAACCCTTAAAACACTTTGCAAGTCGCCATGACCCAATATGAAGGCGCTTCGGCAAGGCAACTGTGTCAGTTTCTGAGTTCATGGATGGGCAACTTTGGGCATTGGGGCTTAAATGACCGGCATAAATTGCCAAGCAGTGAATGGAGCATGAACTTTAATTAAACTAATGAGTGTTCATTTATGCATAAAATGATCATTTGTATTCACAGCTGCAATTTCAACAAAAGCTGATATTGGGCAGAATAAAAATGCTGATAATGATTCTGCATTCTGATGCAGTTGGGATTCGCATACGTAAAGCAAAATGGTGAATGTTGTTATAAAATAAAAATTGTGCTGCCAGGAGCTATTAATCAAATGGCTAATTGTATTTGAAAAGGAAAGCTTTGGTTTATTTTTCAGTGCACATACAACATATAGTGATGAAAAATCCAAAATTTTAGAGTTGCCACAGAAACAGAGGGGAAATCTAATGAAGACAGTTCCAGTGAGGACTGTCTAATAGGGGATTTCTTTCACTTTGTAGAGATTTGCTCTCATTTCATGTTGTGTCTCTTGGACAGGAAGTCAGGAAAAATCTCCCTGATGGAACACAGGCAGTAAAATAAAAAACACCCAATAGGAAGAGAGAAGGGGGTTAAGAGGGAGGGGGAGGGGAAGAGAGAGGGGGGGGGAGAGAGAGAGGGGGATGTAGAAAGAGCGGGGATGAGAGAAAGGGGGGATGAGAGAGAGAGGGAGGATGAGAGAGAAGGGGGGGATGAGGGAGAGAGAGGGGGATGAGAATGAAGGGGTATGAGAGAGGGCTATTAGGGACCACTAACCCTGCCCCTATCTGCATTCCCTTCTGTGCCCCCCTGTCCCAATCCCTGTCTGTGGGTAGTGTCGTGTGTGATGCCAGCTAACTTGCATGCCAGCAGTAGACATATAGACAAACTGTCATGGGTAGCGGTCTCTGGCTGCTTGCACCTCCTGAGAGTCCTTATCCTCCTGGCCCCTGGTCAGTTTGTCTACTGAGCTGCCATCGCGGAGCACAGTGGAGGTTTGAGAATGAGCCCAAGCTCTGTAGGGTGCCGGGGATGCTTCCCCTGCTGCTGCTCACCTCCTCGGGAGGCGGTGCAGGTCTTCTCCCTTCAGGCTAAAACTGTCTTGAGCTTATTGCATGGTTATAATTAGAGATGAGCGAATCGAACTTGGCGAAGTGGAATTCGTTTAGAATATTAGGAAAATTTCGATTCGCGACGAATCCGAAGATTAGCAGACTTCGGATGCGCGAATCAAAATTTTTCCAAAAATGGCGGTGACGGAGTGGGGATCTCTGGGAAGGCGCGCAGACAAGGCGCGCTGACCCATAATGCATTCATTCATGACATGTGATCGCATTAGCCAATCAGCAGCCAGCCAGCCAGCACTGTGTAATGGTCGAGCTATAAATTGCGGCCATTTTAGAATTCTCCATTTGCCTCCAGTCATTCAAGAGAGGCAGACCTGGCTGTATTGAGGGAGAGAGTTAGGGACACAGAAACGTTACTTAGGGCCAGAGAAACGTTACTTAGGAACACAGAATCGTTACTTAGGGACACAGAAACGTTACTTAGGGCCACAGAAACGTTACTTAGGGCCACAGAATCGTTACTTAGGGCCACAGAATCGTTACTTAGGGACACAGAACCGTTACTTAGGGCCACAGAAACGTTACTTAGGGCCACAGAATTGTTACTCAGGGACAGACACAGAATTGTTACTGAGGGACACAGAATTGTTACTGAGGGACACAGAATTGTTACTGAGGGACACAGAATTGTTACTCAGGGACACAGAATTGTTACTCAGCGACAGACACAGAATTGTTACTGAGGGACACAGAATTGTTACTCAGGGACACAGAATTGTTACTCAGGGACACAGAATTGTTACTGAGGGACACAGAATTGTTACTGAGGGACACAGAATTGTTACTCAGGGACAGACACAGAATTGTTACTGAGGGACACAGAATTGTTACTCAGGGACACAGAATTGTTACTGAGGGACACAGAATTGTTACTCAGGGACACAGAATTGTTACTCAGGGACAGACACAGAATTGTTACTGAGGGACACAGAATTGTTACTGAGGGACACAGAATTGTTACTCAGGGACACAGACAGGGACACAGAATTGTTACTGAGGGACACAGAATTGTTACTGAGGGACACAGAATTGTTACTGAGAGACACAGAATTGTTACTCAGGGACAGACACAGAATTGTTACTGAGGGACACAGAATTGTTACTCAGGGACACAGAATTGTTACTGAGGGACACAGAATTGTTACTCAGGGACACAGAATTGTTACTCACGGACAGACACAGATTTGTTACTGAGGGACACAGAATTGTTACTGAGGGACACAGAATTGTTACTCAGGGACAGACACAGAATTGTTACTGAGGGACAGACACAGAATTGTTACTGAGGGACACACAGAATTGTTACTGAGGGACACAGAATTGTTACTCAGGGACACAGAATTGTTACTCAGGGACACAGAATTGTTACTGAGGGACACAGAATTGTTACTGAGGGACACAGAATTGTTACTCAGGGACACAGAATTGTTACTCAGGGGGACACAGAATTGTTACTCAGGGACAGACACAGAATTGTTACTGAGGGACACAGAATTGTTACTGAGGGGACACAGAATTGTTACTCAGGGACACAGACACAGAATTGTTACTGAGGGACACAGAATTGTTACTGAGGGACACAGAATTGTTACTCAGGGACACACAGAATTGTTACTCAGGGACAGACACAGAATTGTTACTGAGGGACACAGAATTGTTACTGAGGGACACAGAATTGTTACTCAGGGACACAGAATTGTTACTCAGGGACACAGAATTGTTACTCAGGGACACAGACACAGAATTGTTACTGAGGGACACAGAATTGTTACTGAGGGACACAGAATTGTTACTCAGGGGGGGACAGGGACACAGAATTGTTACTGAGGGACACAGAATTGTTACTGAGGGACACAGAATTGTTACTGAGGGACACAGAATTGTTACTCAGGGACACAGAATTGTTACTCAGGGACACAGAATTGTTACTGAGGGACACAGAATTGTTACTGAGGGACACAGAATTGTTACTCAGGGACACAGAATTGTTACTCAGGGACAGACACAGAATTGTTACTGAGGGACACAGAATTGTTACTGAGGGACACAGAATTGTTACTGAGGGACACAGAATTGTTACTCAGGGAGGAACACAGAATTGTTACTGAGGGACACAGAATTGTTACTCTGGGGACACAGAATTGTTACTGAGGGGACACAGAATTGTTACTCAGGGGGACACAGAATTGTTACTCAGGGACACAGAATTGTTACTCTGGGACAGACACAGAATTGTTACTGAGGGACACAGAATTGTTACTGAGGGACACAATTGTTACTGAGGGACACAGAATTGTTACTCAGGGACACAGAATTGTTACTCAGGGGGACACAGAATTGTTACTGAGGGACACAGAATTGTTACTCAGGGACACAGAATTGTTACTGAGGGACACAGAATTGTTACTCAGGGACAGACACAGAATTGTTACTGAGGGACACAGAATTGTTACTCAGGGACACAGAATTGTTACTGAGGGACACAGAATTGTTACTCAGGGACACAGAATTGTTACTCAGGGACAGACACAGAATTGTTACTGAGGGACACAGAATTGTTACTGAGGGACACAGAATTGTTACTGAGGGACACAGAATTGTTACTCAGGGACACAGAATTGTTACTCAGGGACAGACACAGAATTGTTACTGAGGGACACAGAATTGTTACTGAGGGACACAGAATTGTTACTGAGGGACACAGAATTGTTACTCAGGGGACACAGAATTGTTACTCAGGGACACAGAATTGTTACTCAGAATTGGACTGAGGGGACACAGAATTGTTACTGAGGGACACAGAATTGTTACTGAGGGACACAGAATTGTTACTCAGGGACACAGAATTGTTACTCAGGGACAGACACAGAATTGTTACTGAGGGACACAG